TTGACGTTTTGTCTGATCCTTATTTTGTGAGATGGATGCGAAAATATCATGTGCTGATACTTTGAAAATACTTTGAAAATCAAAAAAAAGAAAAAAAGAAAAAAAAAAAATGCTTTCATGTTTTTTCTTCCAATCACTTTTCATTTGTCTTTTTTTTTCTTATTTTTCAATAATTAGATTTTACTCAAATTATGAAATAAACAATGGTAACATAGTAAATCAAATTCTAATCTAACATCATTTAAATAAAAAACATGTTTCTAAATTCCATTAAAACCTTCGCAACAAAGATTGGTACATATTGGTACAATATTGGTACATATGAAATGTTATATGAAATGTTTTCTTAAATCTATTTTCGAAATCTTATATATTTAACTAAAATAATTTTATTTAATTAACATAATATTCAAATTTTGTTATGTGTATATATTTTTTAATGAATTTTATTTTTTTTTATTTATATAAATTGTTTGATATAATTTTTCTTATATAGTTTTTTTATTTACATATTTTTTCACTTATGTTATTTCAAAACAATTTATTGAATAAGAAATCTTTTCCAAACTATTCTTTTCCAAATATTTTTATATATATTTTCAATAATTTTTTCTATATTTAAATTCATAAGAAAATTTATATTGAATATATATTATATTGAATATTGAAAGATTTTATTACTATTCAATTATGTAATTTGGATCAAATTTTTTCCTTTTCAATAATAACAATAAATATAATTATCAATTTTTTATTGTGAAAAAATTTATTTTATATGCATCAATTTAATATAGATATACATGTGTGTATATATATGTAAAAGACATATTTATAAATATACAAGTAAAAATATTTTATAAAATTTTTCAAAAATCAAGATTATCCTTGATGTGTTTTAATTAATATCTCAACATTTTATCAAAAATTATGTATTTTATTACACTCAGATGTTTTATTACACATATATTGTACATTTTAACATATAAAATATGTTAAATAACAATCATAAGAAACATGATAAAAAATATAAAATGATTATTTTCAAAAATTCAATATCAACATTAACATTAACATCATTCTTATTAGAAATCATATTTTTATTTGAATTTGTTATATGAAATAAAAGAAAGATATGTAGAGTAAAATTGTTTTATCTCTGTCACACTGTTATTTTATATTATTTCTATCTATTTTCATCTAATATAAATTACTTGATAAATTATTAATTCTTAATCAATATTTTTGCATATCAACTTTCGTATTTACTTTGACTTATAAAATAAATATTCTAGAAATTTTCCATGAATATATTCTTATTCGGCTTTATCAATGAACGTACAAAGGGAAAAAAAAGATATATACGAACCAGGAAAAGGAAACTAGTTACTTTCTCTACTAGACAGATCCATGGCTCTGATTTAACATCCGTTTATATATACGCATTTTATTTTGAGTGTTATGCGAGCGCTTTCACGATGTAATTTGCCACTGTTACGTCTAAAAGAAAACAAACATAAATTCGAACGTAATAGGATGCGACATCGCGTAAGAAAACTGGTTATTTGTAAGAGACACGTGCATTCATTCCCTTTTCATATTTTTGATCGATTTTATATTACCACTTTTGGATAAAACATATTGTGTAATATTTTTGGGAATTTTTTAAATTGCTAGAAACGAAAATGATAATTAATTTTAATAAAAATGAAATTAACATAATCTAACCTATATTTTTCTTAAACGAAAGCTGATCACTTTTTCACTCATTAATTCTCTTGCTAGTTTTATATAATGATAATTGGCTTTCATTGATAATTTAAGTCATACTTCTCTTTAATAAAAATTAATTATTTTCTCGTTTCACTTGTTTTTGGACTTTACATACTTATCTTTCAAATATGCATCATATTCATACATATCGATATTTAAGTGGCTGTAGTAGAGAAAATTTAATATATAGGTTTGTATCTATGTGACCCATCGAAATGGGTTATTTCTATGAAAAATGATTTATTTTGCAATTTGAATATTTCAATGAATATTTCATTTTACTTTTTTTTATTTTTACTAAAAATTCATTTATATTTATTTTCTATATATTATTCATTTATTCATGCATTAATATATAATAATTTTTTTATAACTATCGTGTATTGATCATATTATTAATTTACACGATAGTATTCTCTTAGTGATATCGTGATTTGAATTGTTAATTTATAATTATCCTTAAACATATTTAAGTTTATGTTAATATTCTGAATTATTTGCTCGTTTAATATCTACGTATGTGTAGATATTAAATATTCGTGTATCTATTAAAGATTCGTGTCAAAATTGTAATGTGATTTTTGAATAGATAAAAAATTTTTTTATTTAGTAGATTTATTTTTTTGTTATAACATTTCTCTAACGATGTACTGGTTTATATTTTATATATTAGATTGTTATATGTTGTATAATTTTTATATACTATTCATGTTTATTTTCAATTAATTTTTTTCTTTTAGGTTAATAATTTTATTATAAGAAAATTATACATCGTTGATGAAAAAAAATTTAATTATTTCGAAATAATATTTAACAAATATTATATCTATCATTAATTTTGTTATTATTTGATATGAAAAAAATGAGAATAAAATAAAAAATTTTAACACTTATTATAATTTTATGATTAAATTAAATACAATTTTTCTAAAATAAAATTATTTTTATACGTTTCACTTTTTTTGCTAAATAACAATGCTCGATAATAAATATAATATTTAAAATAAAATAGTGTACAATAAATATTTTGTTAAAGAAAATTTATATTTATATGATGACATGAATTCAGAATTATTATCAAAAATCAATCAATGACATTTAGAAATTTATTTTAAAAATAAGTTGGGTAATATAAAAAGAAAAAATTCAGAAAAAATAATTATCAATAACAATGAAAATCATATTACAGTTCATATTACAATTCAGTTGCAATAGCAGTTGATATTATATTAAAATTGAAATAAGAAGTTGCATTTTCGCATTTTTATTTTTTTTTTTTTTTTTTTTTTTTGATCGAAAAAATTATATACTTTCCATAAAAGTATAGATTAATCAAGTTTTGTTATTCAATCAAAGTCAAAGATTTTTTTATCTGTGTTGTTATTTATTAAACTATGAGCAAGAGAAAGTCACAAATTTCGTAATATAAAATTTGTTTTATATATCGTTATGTGATTGAGCATTGGTTAGAATTTAAAAATACTTAGAAATTATTTATCATTTTTTTGTAAAAAAATGTATTTGTAGAATATGATACACAAAAATACTAATCTAATCATCATTATTAATAGTTTAGCATCTATAATTACTTATGTATATATACCATTTAAAGAAATACGCATGCATATGCGTAGGGTTGTAAAATTAATCAAAGATTACGAACATTTGCAAAACGAAAAAAAATATATTCTTAAATGAGATCAAAAAATTAAGACTATGTAAAAATTAAAACTATGTAAAATTTCCATTTGCAAAATATAGTATTTATTATTATTATGCAAATTATTATTGTGATATTATGAAAATTATTATAGTTTCAATTTTTTCTTTGTTTCTTTTTTAATCCATGAAATTATTATAACAATAATAGATAATTATCATATATTTCATTATTTCAATTAATTTTTACATAATAAAAATAATTAATTTTTTATATATTTTTTTTAATTTTTAATTTTTACTCTTTTTTTCCATGCCATTCACTTTTTATGTTTTTTCTTACATTTTGAGATATTTGTTTAATCTCATAGCCAGACTAGATTTTAGTGATACTTTAATTTACGTTTTTGTAATCTTACAATATTTTCAAATTATATACAGTGACCTCCTCATAAATGATAATACATAACTAAGTATTCCATTCTTAATATTTGCTTAACGAAATAATTGCTTTGGAATCAAATCAACCGTGTAATTCGATTCGTTCAATTCATGCTCATTATATTCGTCTGAATTTGCTGATAAAAATAAAACTAAGCACATATATATACATATAAAATGATTTTAAATTGTTAATGATAATATTATAATGTCTAAATCATTGAACTTGAAAAATTATTTTAATTTATAATTAATAATCTCATAGATATAATAAGATTCAATATCTGTGATTTTACTTATTATATTGTATTTTCATTGAAATATGTTATCTTAAGAATTATTAGTAATAAATATAATCCTATAATTTAATACTAATAAAACTAATAATAAAATCGATTAAAATTTTACGCCCTATTTCATGTAATAAATAAAATGTTACATAATTACGAATTTCCTAGATTAGATGCATTTAACGCCTAATCATAAATATCATAAGATATATTATTCCAAATTTTTATTGCTTATATAGAATATGTAAAAAAATATTATATATCCATTACGAATCCTTTTTTTAATATCCTTTTTTCATAATTACAATTTTTTTCATTCTGTATTTTTTCGTATTAATAACGTAACATCTTAAAAATATCAATCACACAATAAACGCTAAAAAATATTTATTTTCAATTTATTTAACATTGCTTCATTTTCTTATTTTTAAAAATAAAAAAAAAATTCGTTCATTTACAAATAATTGCACAATATATAAAGTAGCGTGTAAGAATTCGTAAACACATAAACGTAAAAAAAAGATTCATATTATATGAATAATCTCATATTTAATTAATAAATTTAAAATAATTTCAATTCATCAATTTCGTTTTTACTTGTTGAAAATAATATTTTTTATTTCGCTTAACAACACAAATATAATTCAAAGAGATAATAATTTATTTTAATCTACGTAAGAAATAATCGCAAACAAAATAATATTAATAAAGATTCAATATGAAAATTGATATATATTTTTATGATCAATGTTTTCCAGTTTTCAATTACAGATAATTAACTCATTATATAATTTAAAAAACTCATTTAAATCTTATAAGAAATATAATTATACGTGTTGCTATATTATTATTATAAATATGTAAATATTCAAATAATAAATGTAAATGTAAATAACTGTAAATAATAAATGTAAATAATGTGTAATCAATATTATATCTTATAAAAAAAATTATTATATAAAAAAATATATGATATGTATATATCATATATATACGAAAATATATGAAAAATAAAATATTGAAAATAAATAAACGAATTTGATATTTCATTAAAAATTTATAAGCAATTATATAATAATAATTAATAATAATTAATAATAATTATATGTGGGAAAAAATAATCAATAATAATCATTTAAACTATAATTAATATTATCGGAATTTTGGAACTATAAGATTAGATATTTATTATTAGACTGCCCATATTTATAAAAAATATATGACATTCATATTTTATATGAAAAATATGCAAAAATATATAAAGAATATGTAAATGTATCCATGTTTTACATCTATCAGTTCTTAATATTCGTCGTTTAAAATTTTTTTTATTAACTCGTTAAATTTTATATATATGTCTATAAAAAATTTTTTTTTTCATTTTTCTTCCCTGTTATACACGTATTTTATGAATTAATAATATAATTCATATATAAGATGTTCATGATATGCTAGCCATCATTTTCATCATAAACGGAAGTTATTAGAAAAAAATGGAAAAGAAAAATCTTATAATCTCTTAGAATCAATATTTTTTATATTTTTAATATTTTAATATTTGCAATATTTCAAAAATTGAAGGTAATCTTTAATTTTTTCATTAGTACACCGTATCTTTCTTTTTTTATAAAATAATATGATAAGTTAAATATGTTACAGAATAATTTTCAAGATTCTACAAGATCTGAATCATATTTATAAAAATAAGAAATATTTTGAATATTTTTATATTAAGGTATTTATTATACAGATATTTATTTATATTATATTATTTATATTATACAGATATTTCTATTCATGTTTATACATTTATTTTTTTTTATCAAACTTATCTAGTTTTTATTATTTGAATATAGATATTCTATTCGAATATTTTTTATTTTCATTAATAAAAATATTAATAAAAATATTTGTTTCTTTCATTGAATCACGATTTCTAAGATATCATTAATTAAAATTATCGATTTATGAAAAAATATTAATATTATTATATTATTTTATAAGAATAGAAAAAAGATAATTACTTTGATAACAAGTAAATTGTAATGAATAATCTAAATATCAAGAAATATTATAAATACTTAGAAACACATTACGAAATATTGACAAATATTTTTTTTTTATTTTTGATCTTGTACAACCTTGACTAATACATAGTATATTTATTTTAATACAGTCGTTATATATTATGTTGCGATGATTGTTAAGAATAAATATGCAAGACATATATATTATGTAAAAGATACAAAATAAAAAATATATTTTTAGAATCTTTTATTTTTAAAATTTATTTTCGTCAAGATTTCACTATTTTAATAAAAAAATATTCAACTGATTTCTATAAAGAAATATACATCTCTAAATATTCGCAGTCTTTATCTGATTATTTATTAAAATTACACTATACTATATATTTATAAAATTACACTATATAAATTAATAAATTAATGATAAAATAAATAATTAATTATATTATTAACTATTATTAATATAATATTTTAAATCATATTAATTAATGATGATTATATTTCTTCCAGATAAAATTAATATTTAAATAGAAGTTTCTTAAATCGTTATTATATATCACGCTGCGATATTTCCAAATACTTCTCAGATATACTAGTTATTATCTAAATTATAATCATTATAGACAGTTTGCTGTATTAAAATAAACTTTCACATTATTTTATTTTAATGAAATGAAAAAGTTATCTTTTTGTATTTTTTTCAGATTTATTTAATTTGATTTTCTAATATAATTTAATCAATTCTTGTTTTCTAACTGTAAAAACATGAAATAGTTAATAAATAACGATTCAGATATCACACACACATATATATATATATACATATATATATAATTAATTCCAATTCAAAATGATATTGATATACACGATTTGTACTAAGATGAATATGTAAATTTTAGCTAATAATTAAATATGATAATGATCTCAGGAAATAATGTTTAGACGTACGTATATATCTTTACATTTTTTATATTAATTCACGAAACTTTTTATTAATTTAATACGAATTAGTTAAAAAATATATAATAGAAAATGGCACGTAGTATACACATAATTTCGTAACCAAAAACTTTTTTTTTTCTAAGAGATTTTTATCATTTGTTCAATTTCACAATTTTTAATATTATCTAAGATAAAATTAAAAAAAGAAAAAAGAAAAAATAAGAATGAAAGAAAAAAAGATATCGACTTGATAAGAATTCGAAGAAGCTCGGAGGATGTTTGTCAGGAAGACGACTTCGGACATTCTTAAAAGCATACTATACCTCGACTACAATATGGCCTGTTAAACAAACAAAAGACATTTATGACTAATTCTTTATGCTTGTTTCAACATTCATCTTAACGAATGCAAATCGCTGAAACTGTCATTTGTTAGGGATAGAGAGTATGTGGATATATTTCCACATACTATGCATAATAGTATCTTCTTATAGATTATAGATTCCTAGTCAACCCCTAAGAGATAGGTTTTTGTTTGTAATTATTTGTATTTTATAATGAAAATCATCAATATTTATTTAATTCTAATATAGGTAAATTTCTATTAGTGAGAATAATAAATTCCATTAATTATTTATAATTATTTATAAAATTTATAATATTATTATTGTTATTATATATTATAATATTATAATATATTATAATTTATAAATATTAAATTCTCGTTACTTGAATATTTTGAAATATGATTTCAATTTGATTGAAAATAGACAATGAAAATTTATGAAGTATATTTTTATATATTTATAAATTATAATAAAATATTATGTACAGATGGCAATCCAATAATGACAATCATAGTTCTTTTACAATTATGAGAAGCTTTGCAAATTTCAAGATTATTATTTTTTAAAAATATTTATAAAGTTAATATTTTAATTTTTTATATAGAGTAATAAATTAATATAAATGTATCAATCTATTTACTTAGATATTCAAATTATGAATTGATTTATGAATGAAAAAATTTTTATAAATTTTATGAATTTTATAAATGAAAAAAATAAATATATTAAGTATCTATCTTATTGTAATTTATTATTAATTATTATTAAAATATGTGCATGTTTTTAATAATTATAAAATAAAAAAAAAATAAAACTAGCTATTTTTTTAAAAAACAAATTTGATAATTTTACGAATGCCACGATATGTCTTTAATCAATAATATAATAAATAATATCTAAAAAAGTTATTATTATATAGATTTAAAAATAAAAAATGATCTAAAAATAAAATATTTAATTTACTTGCATTTTTATAGACTTCATTTAAATATCTTTATTGTTTTTAATATTATAAAACATATTTGTAGCATAATTTAAATGGTTTTTTTTTAAAAAAAAATATCATGGAAAATTTTCTTTTGCTCGTTTTTTTTAATTTTTTTTTTCAATATTATTTTTTATACAAGAATTTTATACAAGAAACGTTTTTTTTTTTTTGTATTTTGTAATAAGCTAAAAAATATATATCTGTATATATACCTGTATATACCTATTATACCTATATATATCTATATGTATATACCTGTATATATCTATCTGGTATCCTGTATACCTCTTTATACCTGAATACCTCTAAATAAGCTTGAACATTAGAAGATGAAATTGTACGATAATGAAATGAGAATTTACGGTTTTTCTATTATTACCGGATTAGTAACAGTATCCGGATTATCTACCGTTCATTGTCATCTGAAACTGTAAATCACTGTTGATATATTTCTTTCTATAGAAAACTTTTGAAAGTTTTGGCATATTTTATTCTTAAATATATTCTCTCATGGAATCTAATTATCTAACAATCTAACAATTGTATTTTAACGTTAAATTATATTCTAAATTCTCTTCCTTTATTTTTGGGTTACGTGTGCATTCGTTATAGCTAATAGCTTTTCAAGAATCTTATAATTATATTTATATATGTAAAATATATAATTCATATTTAAAAATTGAATTTTTTTTCTTTAAAATATCACATTTAAAATATTATTATAATTTTATTATAATTTTCACATATCATATATAAAATTCTCGTTTCTTAAATCTTTTTTCAATAAATCAAAATCTTTAATTAGGATATTTCTTTTCTTGAGTAATCAAGATTAACAAAAATTTATTATTATGAAAAAAAAAAAGAGAATTATAAATTCTTCGGACACTATAAAAAAAGATCATATTTCAAAAAAGATGTTCGCTCAAACTAAGAGGGTAAACGCGCTTTTTTATCGACTTCAAAAAAGATTTTTGCGCGAGTATTACGTTACGGCGAAATTTGATGAAGTAACTCAGAGACTTTGCCTAATAGCGTCAATAAAATAAGAATGCTAATTGCTCGCAAGGAACGAATGTAAAATCGAGTGGAAGGAGCATTAAACGTGCGCGCAATCGAGTGAAAGTTTTTGAAAGAAAACAAGACAATCGAGGGATGTTGAAAAGGAAAAGGAGCAAGTTCGTCAGTAAGGGAGATCTCGATTACGTGTATCGATCATCCGTATCACGTCATATTGCTTTTCGATTAATCGAGTGATATCATTGAAACGAGAATTGAAAACAAGATCGATTTCGTCGTAACTGTTGATATAATATGAACGACTTGTTCAGCATTAGAAAACCAGTCGTCCTACATACCTGTCGTACTTTTCGAGATTTTTTGTCGCACGTGAGACGATTATAGTCTGCTAAACCATGAATAAGTCCTAATTAAGAAACATAATTAAAAGCGACTGTTCGTGGAAATAATTGTAAACGTTGTGACAAAATTGCAATAAAATTGGATTTTCAGAATTTGGAAGGGAAAAATTGAGTAAAATATATATACAAAAAAAAAAAGGAAAAAGAGTTAATTTTTAGTATTCAAATATCTGAAAGTAAAAAAATTGAAAGTAGAAAAATATATTATCGAACAAAGAATTTGACCTGGAAGAAAGTAACTGAAACGAACAATTTTTCCTAATGCAAATGTTTCAAAGATAAAATCAGTATTATCTAACGAACGATAAAAAAAAAAAAAGAAGAATATTGTTACGTACTAAAAATAATTTACATTAAATAAGGAAAAATATTTAAAACGATAACGATGATGTAAATTCAATTAGTGAGAAATAATGGTCAAGTTAAAAATTCATGGTGGGGGTGTCTTAGTATAACTTCAAAGACAACAACGGTACAAACTCAGACCAGGAGGGAAGGCTTGCTTTCCATTCGGATTCTGTGATTACTCCTCCTGCACCGCAGTCCTTTCTCGGTCGTCTCTTTAGTCGGTGGTCTCATGCAAATAAATAGTCCGTTCTTTGGTCGGTACCTGTTGTCTTGTTGCGGTCGTGTCGGGGATCGTGTCATTTGTCGTGTTCACCCTCGAACTCCACTCAACAACGTTCTTTCTCGTGATATAGAATTCGGTTACTATCGTCAATGAATTTGAAAAATTAAGTGAAAATATCTAATCTATTTAAAACATGGAATATACAAAGATTTCTTTCTCGTGGACATGGTTATTCTTGTTATTATTTACGATGCTTTGCGCATCGATCGAAGCAAATTCAAGAAATGTGGTGACGATGAAGGAAACATTACCAGTGTACGCGATCACGGAATACATCGATATTCTGAATGCGAGCAGATGTCGGAATGAAATGGAGCAATTTCGCAAAGCGATAGATCACGATGTGCTGTGGGGTTTAAGAAGTTAGTAGTTTAAATAAATATAAAATTTCGATCGAGGGAGTTATTCGTGCATCAAAGACAAAAAAGAAGGGAACGAAAATGTGGTCTCTCCGACCGGTTGTGAGTCGAAACGTGCCGAAACCAACTGTACACACCTTATGTGGGACCAACATAACGATCGTGCATTTGCGGTGCTATGTTTCGTAATCCAATCGTTAATACAAACGTGCATTCACATCCGCGGAAAATTCGATATAATAATTTAAAACACAAGAAAACACTCTTGTGCAATCGCGAATTCTCCTTGAAACGAATATACATTACGATTACGTATCACGATTGTGTCACGATGTTTGATTTTTCGCCACGGCAACCCTCAAATCCGAGACTTTCTTCGCGTGTTGCACAAGAAACTAGTTTCCTTCGCTCTTCCTCGATCAGCTACTGGTTTCGAATACGATCAAACCTTGATCTTTTTATTTCTTATCATCGTTTGCCATTCGATCTTTTAAAAACCATATCTGCTATTTTTTAAAGTGTTGGACGCCAGCGGAGTGCCACCCTGGGGATTCATAAACGGGAACAATTTCTGGCTGGGAGGCAAAAATGATTGCAATTATATATCCAAAAATTACACGCTGTCCCTGTCGGAGAAAATTCAGAAGAACAATTCATTGTATCGAAATTCTAATGAAGAATATCCACCGTATGAACTTCATTTCTTTGCCGCCCGTATGAGACACAACAGTACTGTACAGTACCATATAGAATTATCGAAGGAAGTAAGCACGAGGAATTTATTAATTAGAATTTATATCTATTGAAATTTGAAATTTAAAATGAGAAAGAAAGAAAAATCAAGAAAGAAAATTGATTTAAATAAAAAAAAAAATGAAAATAATTGATAATTGAAAAAAATACAACTAACGTGTTTAAATGATAATGAGAAAAGAAATTTAAGAGATCATGCATTTTTTAGGATATAGTGACACTTGGACTTTGCTTACCGGCATCTTGCACTAAAACTGAGATAGCCACGATGATGGATAAAGTGTTACATAATGAAACTCTCTTGATTGGACAACTCTTTTCCATAGGTTTAACACTGGTCGAAATCACTGACCTCAGAAGCGGTCATGAATGGCTTCTCGAATGGAATATAATATTCATTATGTATGTAAATTAGCGTAATAAATTTAGTGTAAAAATTTTTTCAAAATTAATAAAAATCAAGATGTAGATAAATTTAATTTATTATGTTATGAGTGATGAATTTATTAGATCAGGCGAAAAAAATGAGTACATGAGTAGAAATAAATATTTTCATTCCATTTTTATCTCTTGAATGGTATAAAAATTTTGCAAATCAATTTTTCTTCGATATAATATAATTCGACATAGTAATTTTCGATGCCTATTACGTTTCAATTAAATGAAAAATAAATATTCACGTCGAATTAGAATGTACATACTAAATAATATTTGTCAATAATTTAGACATCAAACGAAATATTTTATATGTTAAATATTTACTAATTAAATGAGATAGTATTTTCAAATAATATTTATTTATTTGGAAAGTTTTGAAAAGATTATGTAATATTTATTTATAATTTCAGTCTTCTAATATTTGTTTTAATTTATTTTTCAAATTTTCCCTAGCTCTGTTAATTATTGATTAAAATCACTGATCTATTTGATATATATTTGATTGCAGAATCATATTGGCCCTGCTATGTTGTGTAACAATAATTTGCACAGCATATGATGGTTTCGTCTACCAAAAACGTAAAAACAAAAAAGAGTTAATTCCCTTTGAGAATAACAACGTATCCGGTAAGTTAACAATCTCACATTGATATTTTTATCCAATAATATTTAACACATTTAATACACGTTACAAAAATGTAACACATCTCATTTATCTTACGAAATATTAATATATTATTTCAATTAAAATATAATCTATTTTATTATTTCACCATTAAAACATTATATTGTTATATGCATGTGTTTTACACAAGTTCTCAATCATCAAAATAATTAATTATCTTAGAATTAGATAATCCCATTAAATTTCATTATTAACTATTCAAATGTAATTATTATTCAATTTTTTTCATTATTATAAGAAAACATGCTATTACACATGAAAATGATAAATTACTTAATTATGTAAATTTTCATAATTTTCTTTTTTTTCGTAAACTATCTTTCAAACATATCTTTTTTTTTATTTTTATTAGAGAAACATTCTACTTTTCATTTAAAATCATTAAAGCCTATTAGTATTAGGAAAAAATGATAATATACTTCATTTCAAAATTGTATAGATATATTCTTCTTCGTAAGATAAATGAAATATATCATTTTTTGTAACACGCGCATAGATAAATGACTTTTTATTTTATATGATTAATATATTAATATATTCCTGAAATCTTTGAAGAATCAATTCTAAGCCAAAGTCGATATCGGAGCCAAAAATATCAATTTCAAATTTATTAATTTTATTTGTAAGTAATTGCATCAGATGAAAAGAGATAAAAATAGAGAGATAGCCATGTCTAATGTCATTTATAATAATTTTTAATAAATAAGCTTCAAGCGTTTATTTTAATCTTTAGATTCAATTTTTATTTCATGAATATATTAATATCTAATCCTTTGAATATTTTTTAATAATCAATGTAATCTATAATAAATTATTTAATTATATATAATAAAATTATAATATATAAAATTTTGAATAGAATTGAAAAACGATGTGGAAGAAAAAGGCGAAAATCATTGTCATGAATTGGTAACGGCCGAGTTGAAACCGCAAAATAAAATAATACGATTTATTCTCTGTTTCTCGTGGTTTACGACTCTTAAGCAAATATTTCAAATGGAAGTCGGTTATGATGATATGCGTTTGTTTCACGGTATGAAATTTTTTGGAATGATATGGATCATACTGGTGCATGCACTTTATTACGCGCATCATGCTATAGGTGAGACATCATTAATTACAGATAAATTTTAATCTTTTCGTTACTTCATTTATGTAGAAAATTTTTAAAATAAAACTATACTTATATATATATAGCTAACAAGGTAATCGCATATCGGATGACTGACGAATTTTTCACGCAAATACTAAGCAATGCGACACTTTCGGTGGATACCTTTTTCTTTACCGGTGGCTTTCTATTGACGTATACATATTTAAGATCACAAGGAAACAAAAAGAAAACGTTCAGTGAATCAGTGACGCAAATTATACAAGGGGTCATTAAACGATTCATTAGGTATTGTATAATATTTATAAGCATTTAAAATTTCGTTGCAATTAGATTTTAATGAGAAAATTTTAAAATTCCGATTTCATTTCAAGACTTACACCCGGATATCTTGTCGTAGTCATGATTTTGATATTAAATTTTACTTGGATGGAAAAAGTTTCGATGATTCCATCCAGCGAGGAAATACACGTTTTATGTACAAAATATTGGTGGAGGAATGTACTTTATATAAACAACTTCTTTTCATGGAATGAACAGGTACGAATTTTGTTAAATATTTTATTCTTATTTTATCACGTATTTGAACAATATTTAAAAAAGACTCGTTTAACGGATAAATAATAAATTTCAGTGTCTCAGCTGGAGTTGGTATTTGCCCAATGATATGCATTTCTTCATTTTTGGTTCAATTATTCTAACATTAATGAACACGTAAGTTTATAATTCAGATTTTTAATTATTTATTATTTGATTTTATTTAATTATCAATTATAAATTTCAGACATTACAATATCGCATTGAGCTTAAGTTTTATTACAATAATTTTATCGATATTTACATCCGGTTATCTGGCTTACAGTTATAATTATATACCTGCGTAAGCATATAAAATATTTTTATATTATCATAATAATATATATTTAATATTTTAAAAAGTATATATATATACATATACATACATTATTTTTTTAGATTGAATGAACAATATGAAATGTTAACATATTTTTATTTACGTCCGTGGACAAGAATTCCACCATATTTGATAGGAATGGGTACATGTCTGCTTCTTACAAAATGGAATTATAAATTACATTTATCAAAGGTAATATATATATAATTTTTATTAATTATACATTTTATTTCTTATCTACATTTTTATGTATTTTTAATCTTTGCAAGGTTGAGATGTATACAAGATGATTTTATAAATGTCTTTTAATAGACATTTAATAAACATATATACAAGAATGTCTTTAATAGATATATAAAATGACTTTATAAATGTTTTTTAATAGATACATAAAGAAATTTTTTATTGAAAAATAGCTTTTATATGATATTTATTTATGAGTCTATGCTCATCATTTACAATTAGATAGAAATCTTGTATAAAAACAGTAATTGAAATTAAATTAAATCGAGTCATTTTTATAATGATGATAATTTATCGAATTGATCAAAAAAGCAAATGAAATTTAAATTTTATAGATTGATTATAGATTAGTTTATTAAGTCGAAATTTTATTATATTTAACAAATGTTGCAATTTTTTATATTTATAAAAAGTTTTAAAGTATAAATTTTATATTATTGTATATTACAATTAATAATTCAATATTTTTTGAAAGCTTAAATAAAATGCATATAATCATAATATGTTTCAGAAAACATTATTCGTTTGTTGGACTTTAGCAATTTTGTGCAATTGTTCAATTTTATTCGGTCTTGTGAACAAAAATTTATCTCTGGGTATATCTATTCTTTATACAGCCTTAAGCAGAACAGCCTGGGCTTTTGGTGTAGCTTGGTTTGTAGTTGCATGTTGCACGAATAATTGCAGTAAGTAACTTTTTTCTTACAAAAATATTCTTATTATATTGTATATAATTATTATAATTTTTTATATTCAATTTAATTGATTAATTTAAGTATTTTTTTTATGTTTACAGGTTTGATAAATAAATTTTTATCGAATAAAATATTTTTTCCTATGAGCAGATTAACTTATACTTGTTATCTGCTAAATCCTGCAATTATACTTTCATTATATTCGATTTCTTCTTATCCTTTTTTCATTGATTACGTCACAATTGTAAGAACAATAAAATTTAAAGTTTTGTTAAATAATATCAAAGTAATGTTAATGAAAATAATTTTAATTTTTTTAATTTTTTTTCAGGCTGGTATATTCCTAGTAGCCGTATTATTTAGTTACATTGCTGCTATAATATTAAGTGCATCAGCAGAAGCACCATTTATAATGCTTCTGCGATTGATCATCCAATCGAAAAATAAAGAAACAAAATGAATATATAGACATAGATATTTCTATAAAACTTTTAATTGATAAATCTGAAAAAAAATCATTCGTGTATTAGAACATTTGGAGATGTTTAATATTTAATATTTTTTTATATTGGGAAGGAGGATCAATCTGAAGAATCATTTGCGCAAAAATTATAAACGTTTTCTTTTTATCAACGAGTATTTTGTACATAGCGAGCAAAAAAAAGTCATATACAAATAATTATAGATCGCTGAAAGATAAGAAACAATTTTTTTCATGTTATGAATGAACCGGCGAATGTATCCTAGGTGGTGCCGGTGATGTCATTGATCGATTTGCTCGACTAGCCTGTTCACGCCGACCTTCTTCCAGTTGTTTTTCAAGTTGTTCTTTTAAAACTAATAATTCTCTCGTTCGTTGATAAACAGGATCCTTTAAAAATACAATATGGAAGAAATATGAAATAATTATTTAATTTAATTAATAATTTTATGTATGCAGAAATTAAAATGATAGAAATATTTTATATACCTGCTGTCGCATACTCGGATTCCATCTACAATATAAACTTTTCCACGGTTTAATGTATCTCATACTAGCGATTGGCATCAGAACAAGCTGATAATAAGGAGCAGCCCAATATAAAGGATTTTGATATAAGGATAACTGACTGTTCGTATACGACCATAACGAAACAGTTTTTTGTTTTACTTGTTCCTGAACTCTTTCTCGTTCACTGTAAGCGTATTACAAGCTATATTTATAATAGTCTTACAACGATCGATGCAAAATATTTAATATACCTGCTAAATAAAAATGTGCCAAATCTACAAGAATATAGGTGATCAAGAATAGTGATTAGAAAATGTTCATTAAACTCAAATGCATTAGGAAACTGACGACTTATTTGCCACACGCAATCCATAAATTGTAAAAATACTGGAGATCTGTCTGCATCGCTATGATGTTCGTCACCATGACCGATTCTCTAAAATACGTTATTAGAATTATAGCATTTTCAAATCAACATTGCACAGAAAATATTTAATTAGGTCAGGTATTGCAGACCTGTTGAAATTTGTGACCAAAACTAAGCCATTCTTTTTCTATTAGCACTTCAAAACCTTTGATAGTTCTATAATATGGATCTAACATTAACATGGCAAGAGCTGTTAGCTATAAAAAATTATAAATATTAAAATTATATTATATTTAAAAAATATTTTATATTATTTTTTAATTACTTGTGCTGTCCTATCCCATCCATCTGAACAATGCACTAACACTGAAGTTTTATGATTTTCAACTTTATCTACTATTCTTAATGCTCCTGCAAGTACATATTTTATGTGTTTCAACCAAACTGTAGATTCTATTCCTGATAACCATCTTGTTTCATCAATTGTCGGGAAACATAACTCTAAAAGGTAATTAATAATATTTATTTATTAATTAATAGTATAAATAATAATTTTTTTTATTGCAATTTAACGAAAATATTAGTGATCATAAACTGACCTTTTAATTTTCTAAGACTCTCTCTCATTACATGTATATTATGAATATCAAGAAATACAAGTTCTGCATTTTGATAAGCGTCTTCACTTTCATAACCGCCACCTTTAGCTTTGTTTGCAACAGCATTAGGCATTGGTCGAGCATCCATAATAAAAAGTTTATGACTTTGTGCATTAGCATCCATTATTAACTGAATATATCGCTCGTCTTCGCGACTACGTTTGCCACCAACACCTACTAATGGTTGAGCACAACGAGTTATCGTTGCTTGACTTTCTGGATGGATCCATGAGAGTACCGGAAGTCTTCCTCTACTTCGAAAAGCTGCAGATGCTTGCAAATCCTCATCAGTTGCTGCTGCAGGTACTGCCCATACAGCGGGATAACTATCACAAATTGAATATGTGTCGTTGATTTTCGATATCTTCCACATATCATTGTTTACTCCCTAAAAATAATTGTAACATTAATATATTTTATTTTACATTAAACGTGAGAATATAACATTTTTTACCATTCGTTTTAATTCTGCTATAGGTTCATAAACATTCCATCCATTTTCAGGAAATGTCTCAAAATATTCAAACGCGAAAAGAGGTAATTTATGAGATAAAGGAAAAGAATACTGTTGAAGTTTTTCAAAAACATCTCTTCTGGAATGATTTTCTTGTTTATGAGCAAATCTAAGATTTCGCATATCTTTACAAAATACTTCAATGCCATAAGAATTTTCGCCTTTGCTAGATGCACCACCAACTTTTTCGATTCTACTAACAACGCCTAACGGTACTTCAACAACATAAGGCGTTTCACGATCTACACTCCGAAAATGAAGTTTATAATTTGTAATACTAAGAATTCCTCTGACTGGTCCCGAATAAGGACACACATAAGTTACTTCATGAGCAATGCCTTGTACACGTTCTCCATTTAAAAGTGGTGGACCTGTTTCTCCACTAGACAAATTCTATAAAAAAATGACTTAGTAAATAATTATGTTGATAAAAACAACTATTAAATAATAAAACAAGTATCTGCTATTTTAATTATACATTGAAACAAATTATTAAGTTACTAAATTATGTACTAAAAAAGTAAAAGTAAAAGTGAAAAAAGATTTCCTAAAAAATGTGAAATATTTATTATATTAAATGAATGAAATCAAAATCATATTGTATAAAGAAAAACAAATTTTGGTATAATAATAAATTAATTCTTAACAAATGTAAAAACTACATCAATTTTCCTAATCATTTATATAAAACTCACTTTTACTTGATTGTCTTTTCTAGTTTCTAAAGCAGACACAATATTATTATCTGTTGAAGTAGAACTTGAAGAAAAACTTTTGGAATGTGATGCTTTATCCCAGCTTTCCTAAAGAAGTTTTAATGCTTATATATAATTAAATATAATTATGTCTAGTCAAATCAAAAACTTAGATATATGAATTAAATTATATTACCGATTCTTGTCCCATCTTAGAATTAAGGGAACTGCTCTTGCTATCTGAATTAAGGGAATCAGAACTGGCATTTTTGGAGTTATTTTGTTCAACATTCAAAAGTTCAGCACTACCCCTTTTTTCCATATTTCTAACTTAACTTGCTCTTTTTTCACATTTGATATATTTTCATCCTTATATATAATTCTAAACACCACATCTTTAAAATAATATCACCTTCAAAAATAAAATATTAAACTGATTATTTAGTTATTATAATCTATTAAATTTTTATTTACATAAACATATGAATTGATAACAAATATATGATAAAAATAATTGCAATAGTAATCAAAAAATATTGTATAAACTATATAAGATTCATATATTTTGTGAAATTTTTATAAATTACTTAACCTTAAAATCCTGAAACTTTATAATATATTATAATTCAAATTATTATAAATATAAATTTAAAATATATAAGTAATAATAATATTAAAAATAATATTTAAATGTATAAAATACAAATTTTAAATACGAAATAAATTCTAATAATGATATAAACAAAGTTTTACATAATATTTACGCCACGCCCAGAAGGAATATATTATTTTTATATATTATAATATACATGAATCTTAAATTGTTTAAATATAAAAAGAATTCCAATACACTGACCTTATTCAAAAAAATATTACATAAAAATATTCTAATGAATTCAATCCTTTCAATGCAACTTGTATTTGACAGACATAGTTCATAGACATTTGACTTTATAAAGTCAAATAGAAATATTTAAGTGATAATATCATTTATTATATGGCAATTTATCATATAAATTCATAATAACAATTCTTTATATCTGAAAAAATAATGTAAAAACAAAAAATATGTGTCATTTAAAAAGCATATTTCTATTTTCTGTTACAATAAATATAAAAAATATCAATTCTAAAATTTTATTCATGAAAATGTACTCTAAATTATAAATTAAATCTTATTAAAACATATATTTTTTATGTTAATTCTATTATGCGAATATTTAAGTGAAAATTAATATACTGTAGACTATATTTTCAAAAATAAAATTATATTTTATCAAAAAAAATTTTAAATTTAATATTTTCCAAAAATATTGTTTAACATATATCATTTTTTCAAATATTTAAAAATTATTCATATGTGAAATGATTAGGAATTATAAAATTAAATAATGAAATATAATGGAATATATATACCAAAAACTAAATATGTTTAATATCTCTACAATGCCGCAAATGAAACACATAAAGAAAGGATAGAAAATAATGAGAGAAGGATAGAGATAGTAAGAATTGGCTATTAGCGCCAT